GTGATTTCTGCGCGGCAAATCGATACCGTTTATCTCGACAATTCCCAACCGGAAAATACAATCGAAACAATTTTTACTCGGCTCTCGTACCGCTGTATTCCACCAAGTTTCCACAAATTGTTTAAGAAATCTCTTATCGAGGGATTAGTGCACTTTCCCAAGACCGACGGGAATCGAATTTCTTTTATTTCTCTATCGCGATATCTCGTTCTTTCTCGATGTGCTTACGTCTATAGTTTCCACGATCCCGTGCATTACGATGATCGTCACGTTTACACACTTCGAAAGATCCCAATTAAACGCATACGTAGATCAACAGCGTGTTCGTGCCTGGATGCGCGATCGCGTTCTCTGGACAGTCCGTTTGGAAATCACGTACTCAGCTCCCGATGGCAGGAGAACGTCAACGCGCGATATCTCTTGGGAAGAACAGGGACGTTGACGTATGAATTTTGGCTTGATCACGACGTTTTGCAAATAAAGTTAGACCGGTTCGGTGCGGTTCGGTTTTTAACGTATAATAATAGCGGTTCTGCTCCACTATTGGGAATCGTAACATCGCGTACGACGAAGTAGTCACCGGGGAAAGAGTGATCTCCGGGCGGTAATTAACGAGCGGTCTTCGCAGTCTTCTATTTCCCGGGAATGCGCGTTGTTTTGTTTTCTCTCGAGTTTACCGATTCATTATTTTCCCACCGCACCGCGTGATGGATCCCTTCTCGATAATTAGCATCGCGATTAATCACCGCGTTGTCCGGCACGACAGCGTTTGTTAAAGTTCATCCTTGAACCGCGCTTGAATTTTTCCGCACCGATCGTGAACGACAAGCAGCGGCTGGTTCTTTGGCGGCGAAACACTTGTCGCGTTTCGTGACCTTTGTTCCTGACGAAAAAGCAGCGAGGAAACGGCAGTGTGCGGCAATCATGAAAATCGAATGAATTTCCAGGCAGGGGCTGGCGGTCGCGCAAGAAGCAATTTCTCTTTCGGTACATGCACAAGACAGGTTTAATACATCTCGGGCGGTAGATATTCATACGTTTTACTTCACTCGGCGAGCGTTGGTCGCTTTTTTCGCGAAAATCGGCACCGTCAACAGCAGAACGGCGAGCCTCATCGTCGTCGAAGAAACGCGAGAAAAATAAGTTTCGCCAGAAATAAAGCAGACGATAAAAATCGCTTGCGAAAATAAAAGCCAACCACGGCCGATTTACTTTGGGGGCTGATTTTCGCGTGGAAAGTTCTCCGTGCAACGAAGAAAAGACAGATTCTCTGGCCATGTTTTTTTCTTTCCTCGTCTTGAACCGGGACGACGCGAATCGCGGTTAGCAAATATCCCAGAACCAACCGCGGTTCGATTCGTATTTCTATTTCGGTAATCGCATCCGAGGCGCGGCGCGAACTTAAGCTCGTCCCGAGCTGCATTCTCTCCCAACGAATGAATTAAATTTATCGCCCATTAAAATAATCCGAATCGGTTAAATGCGATTATTTCCTTTAAGCAGGAAGCTTCCTTTAACCGAGATTCATATTAAATTTAAAGCGATCCCTATTGCGGCGAGTGCTTGATTATATTTCACAAGGGGTAATCCAGTAAATCATTTCTATTTTCGAGCGTCTGCCAGAGCGACGTTGTACATTAATTTATAGTCCGTCGGCTTGGCCAACTTATTCATGAATTATCACACTTTTAAACGAATTTTCCCGAAGTAACAGGTTGGCTCGGTTCGCCTCGGCTCGATTCGACTAGGCGTTGATCACGCGGAAACTTTTCCTTGTTCGATCCATACAGCGCGAAATGCAATATCACGCGGTATCACCGTACTCCGATACCGAGCGTAACGCCGTTTTCAATCTTCCATGGTGTAGCCAGTGATCTTCCAATCTTTCCGAAGGAAAGTTACGTTCAAAGCAGCAAGTTCGATTAAGTGAAGCGGTTACGAGAATCGACGTGGTTGCGTAGTTCGTGTTTTATGGACGTTGCTTCTTTTACGACGGATCTTTTCGCGCAATCGCGTTAACACGCACGCGAAACGACGCTTTCCAGCGAATTGTTTCGTTTTTCTCTGTTTTTCGTACCTTTCTGCTTTTCACCGCGCGTTGTCCTCGCGCATCGGATCGGTCCTTCTGATTGTAGCACGGTTCTTTGACGATTTCGAAATGAAAACGCAACGTCGCGCTTCAGCTCGGACGTTGTTTATCGTTTCTCGTCCTTGGTCGGAAACAGGCGGAAAGCTATTTTCACGGGGGAAGAAAAGTGACTCGTCTCGAAACGACTCGCTGGAATGCAATAAGAGACTAAAGGCGGCAGACGAGAAACTGTTTGCTAGCTATGAAAATTTTCTATTGGCTTTCTTCGAGGGTTCTTTCGTCGCATCGCGACTCCCTCTCGTGCCACGGCCTGACTCCGTCTATCAACTTTCTACGGGAAGAATCTTTTGTTTCGAATCAGTCGTTCCGCGTGCCGGTGCATTTACCTTCCTTTTGTCTCGCAACGAGATTCAACGCCATTGTCGAAAACTTGAAGATCTTGGGACTTAATCGGTGCGATCGTCGTCCATTTAGCTTGTTGCGAGTTCGCTGCGCAAACGAGGCGAAATCGATGGTAACAAAAGAAAATACGTACACCTACCTGCTGGCGCTTAACGGAAAAATCAAGGAAACGCAACGTTTTAATCCGTGAGAAACTCTGAATAAAAGAAAGAAAGAAAGAAAAATAACGAAAAGGTCAACGTAAGATTAAAAACAAAGGCGGTTACCGAGATGGAGATGACGTTTAATCGTAAATCAATAAAATTAATGAATTAAATAAATAAATTAAAAATGTTTATACACATATTTATATATATAATATATATATATATATAATATAATATAAAACATAAATAGGGTCCCGAGACTGCTGGGGAGCACAGCGCATATCCTAAACGCCCCCTCCCTTCCATTTTTCTTTACGATCTCGCGAAGCCGTAACGTCGAGAATTCCGGAAGAGATCGATTCGCCATCGTGTCCGCCCAAAATATCATCGTTCCACTTTCTTTCTGGTAGCTGTCGGAAAAGACGCGTGTTTTAAGAGGGAGAAAAAAAAGTACCACGCCGTGTAGCAAAGGAAGTCTCGTTCCGATGCGAAAACTAAAAACCGTCAAAGACGCGTCGAACGATCTTTCGAAAAATCGACAAATTTCGAAATTTGAGGTTGCCTTGAATTACTCGACCCAATCCAATCGTCTCGTTCGGAAAGTTCTCGACCAACGTACCCATTCTCTCTCCATTTCTCTACTATCATTTTTCTCTCGCTCTCTATTTTCATTAACTACCTTAAGTCTCTGCTTTAACTAGCCTAGCGCGTATTACATTATCATATTTTACATAAAATCGTTTTTGCCTAGTGGTCTCTCTCTTTTTCTCCCTTGGTTTCTCTAGCGATTGGCTCGAGTGGCTAATATTCTCGTTTCTCTCGGTGATATTTTTACATACGTAAAGAAGTTACGGCCCTTATCAATCGTTGTTGGAAAATTCTGGGGAAAAACGCGACCACGTCGCGAAGAAAGGAACAGAGTCGAAAGCGAAAAAGCGAGACGACGACCACCACGCGTCGATGATAATTTCACCGGCGACCAGTGAATTACGATATTTATTCCGGTCGCGCGACACAATCGATCTACGCGAAGCGTTCTCGAATTGTCCCGATGGTCGCGTAAAAATACGAAGAAATTTTCGGCCAGACGTCCAACTATATATCGCCTGCCCGAGGTTCTCGTTTCTGGTGTTGCGTCGTTAAGCCAGTTTTCGCGACCAACCTCTTTGCTCCCTCACTCGCAACTTTACGCTTCACCGGTGTGGCCTACATTTTCCAACAACGACAACAACGACGACGACGACGAAGACGAAGACGACCACGACGACGACGACGACGACGACGATGACTACGACGATGACGAATACGACGATGCTCCCTTCCATCGTCGCGAAAGAGAAGTCACCGAAGACGAGTAGCAACGGACGTTAAGCGTGCGATACTTGGTTCACGAAATTTCTCAACGAACCGATCGTCGCGAAATCTCGAATCGCGTCTACCGTCTTTGATCTGGAACAATTCGAGACGGCAAGACTCGAAGCTGTCAAATATTTAGACGCGTTTCGAGATTGCGTTAATCCCGCCGCTGAAGATGGATACCTGCACGAAAGGTACCCTTTCGTAACCTTTAACCTCCTTTCTCTACGCGTGTTGCACACTCGTATTTTTCTTTTTCGTATACTTTTACGTAGACGTATCGACCAAGACGATCTCCGAGCGTTTCAACCGTTCTCACGACGTCCTTCATCGAGACCCTGGGCTCTTTGGTATTGTTCTCCCGTAGAGACTCCGAAAAGTGCGACCTTCGAATGCTCTTCTGACTGCATCCCTTCCTTTTTACGTTCTTCATCGGTGGTTCGCGATCTTTCGAGGTCAAGCACCACTTCTGAATCACGAGCGTCACTCGAACGCTCTCTTCTGCCTTCCCGATATGAAACTGAAGGGGTTCGGGACAGGCGAGAATCCGCCATAACTCTTTCCCTTGCACACCCTCTGGTACGTTCACCTCTGTCTCTCCGTTTTCCTTTCACACGCGCGCGTACACACGGACACACAGACACACGCACACTCAAACGTACGAGAACGTACATGCTCTCCCGTTCGTTTCTTTTCTTCTCGCGAATAGAATTTCGATAGAGACGCGAGGCACGTCTCGTAACGCGACATTTTCTAATAGAGAAGTAACAATAGTAACGGCGGTAGAAGTAGAAGAGGAAGAATCGAGGGAGGAAATAGAGCAAAATAGAAGAAACTCGTCGAGGTGATGTAGAAACAGAAGAAGAGAAAGAAGAAGGTACGAATGCCCGGTGCCAAAAATTGATTTTGGAACCCGTTCCTACAATACAGAGGACTCGTTCTAATGCCCGACAACAACGGTTCCCGAAAAATCCGCACGTAGATTCGCTCCCGTGTTTGATTCTCTCTTTTTTTTTTCCTATTCCCCTGTTCAATGTTCTCGTCGTGTATTTCGCTGCGTTTCCGTTCGCAGATATATTTCGCTCGATCTCGAGATCGATCGCGTTATTACAATCGCCTCCACGTTTGTTATTTTGGTCGCGCGTTGGCCCTCTCACGACATTCTTCTCGTGGGCTCGAAAGGCTGTTTCGACCGACTATACCGAGTACACCGAGTTCAACGTTAGAAAAGGGTCTACTCGGAATGGAAGGGCCCCGCGCGATTATCGCTAGCAGTAGTACGAGGTCGATAGTCCCAGCTTGCAGGAAAACGGCGCCCTACGCCGGTTGTACACACTTCCGGTGCTGATGACGTCCTTCGTCTCGCACCGCAGACCCGTGAAGCCTTCCGCGCATCTGCAATCAACGAAAGAAAAACATAATTAATAACGTGTCTCGCACGACTTTATTAGCAGCTGGTTATCGTTCGAACGAGAATACGAACGAGACGTAGACGCGTAAAAATTTCTCCGATTCGTCGGTAATTTTTGGTGTCGTGTGACAAGACGGGAGGGTGAAAGGAGGGGAGAGATCCCGTGCAGAGACAGCTCGATGTGTCCAAGACGTTTCTTTGGAAAAATAATGTTATGCCGACGTCGAGGTATTTATAGCACGGTTAACTAACCACGACGAGACGTACGAACGCTGGTAGACGTGTCGTTTGCGGCATTCGCGTGTTCGCAAGCTACAAGCAGAGGGTCATCAGCGTAGAATCAGAAATGTCCGCCCGGTTGCTAAACGATTTTACGCGTGTTTCTTCGTAATTACGTTTCTTTCTTCGAATATAGAATTCAATTGCAGCAAAACAAGAGATTTTCGTCCGAGTGGAATGTTTTCCGATTACCGACGAGTTCCCAGCAACACTTCTACCCTCGAGAAATTTTATTTGCGAAGGAATTTCAAGACGATACGGCACACGCGAGAGAAAAGAGGATCCAAGGAACGTGGATTGTCCCATTGATACGATCCTAGGGGAAATCAAGGGGAACGCTTTTGTCGTGGTTTCGCGGTCCGCGCCTCCGATAAAACATACTTTCGTCAGCGTCGAATTTGTAGAGTCCGAACCGTGCGTCTTTTCCACTTCGTGAAATCGCAGAAGTAAAATTACCGATAGAGCTCTTTGGTATTGCACGGACTGTGTCTGATCGGAAGATATAAAGAAAAGAAGATATAAATAAAGGATCGCGGCAATGTCCCTCCAAAGGGACTGTCTGCCGTCGAATATCGGTTCCTGTTTAAAGCGTATTAAAAAACTGACAAGGAACACACGGTTAGAGCCGTTAACACGGTAAATACCTGCGAAAGTGCGCGACTCGTTCGCGCTATTTATTCCTCGGAGAACGATCGTGCAATAAGATTTTATAACAAACTTTGCCTGGCGATTTTTAGGACGGCCGTCCGCGACGATCCTCTACCATCGCATTTCTTTCCGTCTCTCTTTCTTTTCTCTCTCGTTTTCCCTTCTCTGACGCCTCTTTTTTTTCTTCTCTCTTCGTTCGAGCAGCACCCTCGCGAATTTACGAGGACCACGTACTAAATATACTTCGCGGTAGATTTACCGTTGGACAAACCAGAAACAGCACCGGAGATAGTGCAATTTACTGTACCATTCACTTGAACCCATTAACGCTCGCTGGTAACTTCGGCTCGCTTCGAACACGTAATTGGCTTTCCATTGAGATTTATCGTAAACACGCGTGTTTACCGGCACGAGTTGCTCTTTTACACGCCATCGTTGAATAAACTCGTCGCGAATCGGCGACTTTTCCAATATGAAAAGCATACAGCGGCCCTCCGCGTTCTCTGGAATTTGACCCTCTGGAAAGTGGCGTTTCCGCGATTCGATTGACGATTTCGATAACGAAACACTCGGCGCTCGAACACTTAAGCTTTCTCTAAGCTTACGCCACGCGATATTGTAACCGGTAAATTTTCCATAGAAATTAACTCGAAGTCTAACTTCGTTAAACGAACGACAGTGTATTTGCGTTGAAGCACTGCACTGTCGAGTTAAAACAAACGACATAATTCGATGATAGGATGGGACAGCTTGTTAATTAATATTTTTGACCGAAAGCTGGGTATAAACAAAAAACGCTTGCCGCGACATACAAACGACAGCAGTCGTTAAAATCTGATCCTCCTGGATGACAGGTTTTATGGGAACGCGATTTCTCGGTTGAGCGTAAACTGGTGATACCACGGTGTATCCTGAGCTCGATAACACTTCCGCGCCGAGTACGTTACGAGTGCGTGTTGGAATATTTACGCACGTTGCTGACGCGCCATAAAAAAGGAAATAGTGAATTAAAATTCTTCGTTACGTTGCCATCATAAAAGTAGCCATTTCTCAGAATCGATGGCTTGCGCACGTGATCTTTAATAATTACGATTTATCGACTGTTCTATATACTCTTGATAAAGAATAATTTTAGGTCTAATGCCCGGTATTCACGAGCAGGTACTTTATGAAATTATGAAATATACGATTTCGTTTGAACTCGATTGATCGTCGAAGCAGTAATTATTGTGCATACTAAAGGATTCGTTAGTCCGTTTTTCATGGTAAAAGCAGGAAACGGAATGGGACGCTAGATGAATCGCAGGAGTCTCGCGATTGATCGCTTTCTTTCCGTCGCGCACATTGTATTCGCGTCTCTGATAACGCTAGAATGTCGTTCCTTTTGCTCCTTTTTCCACGGTGGTGGACAGCGAAACCCTTTTCCACTCTCGTATCCAGGACTACGAGTTAGCGAAAGTGTCAAACTTTCAACGAATAAAAAGTTGGAGAGGCGAGTATCAAAGCAGATTCTTTGCGAGAGTCAATCGCTTTAAGGACGTCCTTTATTAGAGGAAAATTGCTCCCGAAGTTTCTCGAAAGTCGTTTGCTTTTTCTCGCCAGTGTCCTCGTGAAAAGGGTGACTTTTGTTTTTGGGCAGCAGTTCCCTTGTTTTTTTTTCTCGGATAATTAGTAAATCGAAAAGGTGCGAGGGTCGAAGAAAGAGGCGAGACGAAAGGATTTCACCATGCCTGGGCTTTTATTAACGAGATACCAGATTTTATTAACTAATTCGACGGAACTACGCGGAGCTCTCTATCCGGCCGGGCTTTACAGGAAATTAATGGTGCACCGATTACAACCAACGGATTTGTTGAATCGTTTTATTATTAACGGCGCATCAGTGAACCAACGTGCAGCACGGGGGAAAAATTCGTTTTTAAAAGCTCCGCGCCGTTGTCCTGTCCCAGTTGGGGAAAAAAGCTTGTAAAAATAACCGAAGGTACGTTTGCATTTGGAGTGGAGTGTGCGCATCCCGAATTGTTGGTGCGTCGGCGGAAGTCTTAACCACGGTTCTGGCGATGGCCGTCGGAGACCGAGGCAACTACGTATATTACGATCGCAAAATTAAAAGCAGCTTTTTATACGGGTTGCTCCTGTACGTGTAGGAATATTTAGGTTTAGAAAGTCAATGTCGGTTGGCTGTGTGCAGTGAGAAATAGAAAGGGATGAAAGAGGCACAGGGTGGTGGTTTTCCTCTGGTATTAATTCCCATATATGCCGCGAGTGAGGCTCAGTCTGTAACTACACCAGGACGCGCAGCCATGTATACGGTCCGTGGCTCGAAAGAAACTTTTTTGCGGTTTACTTAATTTAATAACGCTCCCGCGGTACGCAATTTCAAAGATAACACTTTAAATGGGCGGGGGCACGAGGCTCACCTCTTTCTCTCGCGTTCAGCCCACCCTTTCTTCGCGCTTTCTGTGTTCTTCCTTTTTTTCTTTTTCTCTTTCTGCCAGCTCTATCTTCCTTCTTCCATCACCGTTTTTATCACCTTCTGTCTCGTTTTCCGCCCGCCTCTCTCCTGCTAGTTTCTCGGCCTGTCTGTCTGTTTCTCTTTGAAATTATTCGAGCGTGCGGAGAAACGCATGCGCGCCTACCCTCGCCATTCGTGTCTCTGAATGTGTGTAGAACGACTCTGGTTATAATGTACCGTACTTTATTTCGAAACACTCTCTAGCATCCACGCGGGGCTAGCTGGTTGCCTCTTCCACACCCCTTCTTGTTACGTGGGCCCGCGCCCTACTCCCTTGGCGGATAGTTTCCTGCGAGCAAAACTGGGTTACTCGTTTGGTCGTATGGCGTTTCCATCCACCGGGGCGTATACGTATTCCTACCCTCTTGGCATTTCCAACAGGGCTCGAGCAAAGTTACCAGAAGTCCCTCTCAACCTTTCAACCTCTTCGCCATGGACTGCTATTTTCCTTCGCCGAGACATCCATTTACAAACTGACGCGTAATAAATGTAACGCCCATTAACGCGATACGGTGATCACAATGAAACTCGACTCGTCCGAATGTTTGTTTCTATAACGCCAAAGGGTTGCTTTCTCTTCCGGCTTATTCGCTGGTGGAGGAAAATTGGGAATCGTTCTTCGAGCAACGAAGCCGTCAAGCGAATAGTTCCTCCATTTGATGAACGACGCAGGCAGGAAGAATCGATTCGTTACTCTTAATCCGATGTCTTTCAACGGTTCACCCTTCTCATCGTGATATATGGCGATCACAGGGTTAATCGTAGTCCAAGTAATTAGCGCGAAGTTTCTCTGGTCGACAGCTGTCCGGGGTCTCTAACCCCCTTGAAATTTGCGGTCAAATCTCTGGACTGGAATTCATAATATCCACATCCTGAATTATAGTTACATTAGCGAAAACGTCGAACCAGCTACTCGCAGTCTCTCAATTACCTTAATCTAGGAGGAGTGGTATCGCGCGTAGTCGGATCGATGAACCGACCGAAAAAACGGCGAAAGAAAACGAAGAGCACGGGGAAACAACGAAGAGGGGGAGAGATACGTTTCCAGATAGGCTGTTGCCGGGTAGTAACCAACCCCTGTCCATCGAAAAGGCACGATTTACGCGGCGCGTTTATGTCAAGGAGGAGCTCGTGAAATAGTCCAGCGTCGACGAATAGTTGCTGGCCGTTATAAGTAGATTTATGCCGAACCATAACCTTCGGACGTGGTATATGGAAAGATAGGGGAGAGATGTCACGGATGGGGAGGATTCGATGGAGGGAGAAGGTGGAGGGAGAGGTGACTGCTGGGTCACGAGGGAAAACCCTGATGTCCCGAAGGGTGCCAGCTGGCGGGACAGGTTACTGTCTGGGAAATTGGGACGTCGGCTAGAGCCGTTCACCCTCGATCATTTTCCATCGTTGCGCCATTGCCTGTTAGCACCGGCCACCAGGAAAACGCTCGAATGCCGCTAGAGGTGATTTCTGCTGTTGAGTAACCTCAGCCCGGAAGTTCGGTTATTCCGTTCCGTTCTTACCGAAGCGAATCGGCCGAAACTCGAA